TGGGCACACCTGGGGGGCACAGACACACCTGGGCACACCTGGGCACAGCCTCATCCTGGCCGGGGTCAGGGGGCTCACCCTGCTCGACCACCAACAGGTGAGAGGGGGGCACACCTGGGGGGCACCTGGGCACACCTGGGGGGGCACAGACACACCTGGGCACACCTGGGGGGCACAGACACACCTGGGCACAGCCTCATCCTGGCTGGGGTCAAGGGGCTCACCCTGCTCGACCACCAACAGGTGAGAGGGGGGCACATCTGGGGGGCACCTGGGGGGGCACAGACACACCTGGGCACACCTGGGCACAGCCTCATCCCGGCTGGGGTCAGGGGGCTCACCCTGCTTGACCATCAACAGGTAACCGGGGGGCACACCTGGGCACACCTGGGCACAGCCTCATCCTACTTCCAGAATTCCCATCGCTGTATCCCATTCCCAGGTTTCCCAGGATGAGTGTGGAGCCCAGTTCCTGATCCCATCCCTGTATCCCATTCCAGGTTTCCCCGGACGAGTGTGGAGCCCAGTTCTGGAATTCCCACCCCTGTATCCCATTCCCAGGTTTCCCCGGATGAGTTCCTGATCCCAGTTCCTGATCCCAGCTCTGGAATTCCCATTGCAGGTTTCCCAGGATGAGTGTGGTGCCCAGTTCCTGATCCCGGCGGGTTCCCAGGGTCGGAATCGAGCGGAGGCGTCTCTGGCGCGGGCCCAGAGCCTCAATCCCATGGTGGAGGTCAAGGCTGATCCCGACAGCGTCGACTCCAAACCTCAGGAATTCTTCACCCAGTTTGATGCAGTATGGACCAAACTGGGGGAAATGGGACCAGTTTGGGTGGGATTGGCCCAGTTTGGGGCGGGATTGGCCCAGTTTGGGATGGGATTGGCCCAGTTTGGGGCAGGACTGGCCCAGTTTGGGGTGGGATTGTTCCAGTTTGGGGCTGGATTGTCCCAGTTTGGGGACAGGACAATTTTGGGTGGGATTTTCCCATTTTGGGGTGGGATTGTCCCATTTTGGGGCGGGACTGGGCCAGTTTGGGGCGGGATTGTCCCAGTTTGGGGTGGGACTGGCCCAGTTTGGGGCGGGATTGACCCAGTTTGGGACAGGATTGTCCCAGTTTGGGGACAGGACAATTTTGGGTGGGATTTTCCCATTTTGGGGTGGGATTGTCCCATTTTGGGGCAGGATTTTCCCATTTTGGGGTGGGATTGTCCCATTTTGGGGTGGGATTGTCCCATTTTGGAGGCAGGACAATTTTGGGTGGGATTATCCCATTTTGGGACAGGATTGTCCCATTTTGAGGTGGAATTGTCCCAGTTTCGGGCAGGATTGTCCCAATTTGGGGCGGGATTGTCCCAGTTTGGGGCAGGACAATTTTAGGTGGGATTGTCCCATCTTGGGATGGGATTGTCCCATTTTGGAGGCAGGACAATTTTAGGTGGGATTTTCCCATTTTGGGGCTGGATTGTCCCAGTTTGGGGCTGGATTGTCCCAGTTTGGGGTGGGATTATCCCATTTTGGGGCTGGATTGTCCCATTTTGGGACAGGATTGTTGTGTCCCAGTGGGATTTCGGGTGGTCTGAGGTTGGCTAACCTCCAGAATTCCCTGTTCCAGGTGTGCCTGACGTGCTGCTCCCGGGAATCCATGGTGAGGATCGACCAGATCTGCCACAAGAACGGGGTCAAGTTCTTCACCGGGGACGTTTTTGGCTACCACGGCTTCATGTTCGCCAACCTGGGCCACCACGAGTTCGTCGAGTGAGTCTGGGGGGAAAACCAGCCCAAAATCCCGGGATTTAGGGCCACATTCCCAGATTTTGGCTCTGTTTTCCCCCCAGGGAGAAGCCCAAGGTGGCCAAAGGGAGTTCAGGGGTGGAGGATGGACCCGAGGCCAAACGGGCCCGGCTGGACCCTGCCCAGACCACCATGGTCAAAAAGGTCAGGGGGGGATGATTCCCAAGGGATTGGGAATGGGAAAATGGGATGGGGAGATGGGAAGGGGGAGAGGGCTCCGGAAAATGGGGATTTGGGCTCAGAAAATGGGGGTATAGGCTCTAAAAATGGGGATTTGGGCCTGGAAAATGGGGATATGGCCCTGAAAAACGGGGGTGTGGCACCTAAAAATGGGGGTATGGGCTCTAAAAGAAGGAATTAGACTCCTAAAAACTGGGATACAGTCCTTAGAAACCAAGATAGGCCCCCTAAAAACCAGGATGTGGTTCCTAAAACGTGGGATAGACCCCTAAAAACTGGGATACAGTCCTTAGAAACCAGGATAGGCCCCTAAAAACCAGGATACGGCCCCTGAAAACTGGGATAGACCCCTAAAAATGGGGATAGGCTCCTAAAATTAAGAATAGGACCTAAAAACTGGGAGAGACCCCTAAAAAATTGGGATAGAGCTTTAAAAACCAGGATATGGCCCCTTAGAACTGGGATAGAGCCCTAAAAACTGGGAGAGACCCCTAAAAACTGGGATAGGCCCTTGAAAACTGGGATAGACCCCTAAAAACTGGGAGAGATCCCTAAAAAGTGGGAGAGATCCCTAAAAAGTGGGAGAGACTCCTAAAAAGTGGGAGAGACCACTAAAAACCAGGATACAGCTCCTAAAAACTGGGATAGGGCTTTAAAAACTAGGATAGACCCCTGAAAACTGGGATAGACCCCTAAAAACTGGGATAGAGCCTTAAAAACCGGGAGAGACCCCAAAAAACTGGGATCGACCCCTAAAAATTGGGATAGACCCCCGGAAATCCGGATAGAGCCCTTAAAAAGCCACTGGAATTCCCGTCTGGAATTCCCAAGGCAGAGCGGAAACACCCCTCCCTTCCCCGGGGTCTTTGGGATTCAGGGAACGCGCTGAGCCGGCGGATTCCGGCCGGGAATGTCCCCGGGAATGTCCCCGGGAATGTCCC